CCCACAGTGTGCATCCAAACACAAGAGAAACACGTACACCTGTAGTTCATATATCATGAGGTTGATGAATTTGGCTGACTGTAATTAGTTAACATAGGTTTTTGGATATCAGCTGAGAACCACGAAGTCTTTGCAACTGTCAGTCACACATATTAATATATGTGAAAGTCCACCATGAATCTATAGCGGCAAACTCAGTTTATCATGAATCTAAGAAACGTCTCTGACATCATCGTCCATTAACGTATGCACACTTTCTTACAGTTACAAAATAATACCATTAACAGTTTTTTCTTTACAAATGTTTTACTTGCCATGCACTGAGGAAGGTGGTGGCAAATAAATAATGAATTAAAATAATAAGCTGCCTCTCCAAAGAGTCAAACTTCATGCCAATAACTTCATTCAGAGTTCAGGGTAAGATGAGGAGAATACCTAGTGACTAAATCAGAGCATGGCAGGCTTTGTATACCTCAACTTACCAATCACATCTAGGCTTAACTGAATACCACCGATATGTTTGGTTGAAAATTCCTATAAGGCATCCTTATGGAGCACATTTTGGGAAGCAATTTTAGGAGCTACAGGTTATTTTGGGACTGGAACAGAGATCTCCCTCCAGATGGTGAAGAAATAAAATAATTGGCCTCTGAGGAAAAAGACAATAAAATTCGTTCACATGGTTTTCCTGGAGAAAATGCTGCAAGCGATCACTGATTTAATTTGTCCCCAAAAGAAAAAAAAACATCCTCTCCACTTCATAATCTAATGTTTCACTCAGTTCTGCTGAAGGTCACCAAACTCCTCCATCACACGGGACAAAAAATAAAATAAATAAATAAATCAGCACGACACCGGCTCAGCATCTGTAAAACGCAGCACAGATGCTCAAACTGTCTCCATAAAATTCACCCAAATTTGTTGCAACTGATTTAATTTTTTGTGTTGTTATTCTAAAAGACGAACTGGGTTTGAAGTAGCTCAGTCTGCCTTTTCCTCATTGCCCCAACTGTGATGGGTTATTTTTAAACGCTACTTATTGCATAACTGGAGTCCAAAAGGAGTGTTTCTGGCTCTCGTCCCACTACGGATGTTCAATTTTAGCCTTTGCCCCTCAGAGCCAAAAGAACGCACCCCTGAGACATATACAGTCTCTTCCTATACAAGCTGGTGCCTGCTGGAAAAAAAGCCCTGTAATTACAGCAGATCTGAACTCCTTAAAAAACACACACACATACTGGATTGACACAGACAAGATAATTAATCCTTTCAAAACTGTATTTTTCTGTGTAGAAGTTGACAGATTGGACGTTATGTACCATCTCTCCATGTCTGCGTTTCTTTCTCGCATTGGTGCTGCAAAACAACAAGATGCGTTTTCCAAACGTGCCTGCTCTTAAAGGACTGTGCTGAAATGCAGTGTGAGTGGGGAGGCAGAAAGACAAAGGACGTCTTCAGCAAAAGAAAAAAAAATTGTTGAACAATAGTGCAGAAGGGAGGGAAGGAATTTCAAAAATCCATCAGGCAAGAAGAGGAGCGAGGACAAGCAGTAGATGTGATGAATGCAAGCTGTCCAGAGGAAAGATGAATGCAGGAATAAAGAGTAAAATAAGAAAAAAAAAAAGTAAGTTGGAGGGCGCAAATTACAGAGTACATGAGAAAAAAAAGGTTCAGGAGAGTCCAGTAGTCTTGGGGTTTTGGTCCTGCTGGGGCCTGCCAGCCCACCGCGGCAAAAACACTCGAACAAAAGGATCATTTATTGGAGGAGGAGGAAAGAGGGGGAGGGATGAAAGGAGGAGGAACACTGTACAGAGGCATTTGAGAGTTGTGTGAGTGAGGACTGGCCCCATCTCAACATTCACAGCCAATGTGTAACATTCCCCCCCTCCCGCCCCAAACGCTGCACCGCTGATGTTCTCAGCAGCCAGAGCCCATATGGTCCTTCTGCGGTAGCATGCTAGCATCTCTATGTAAAATACACAGAAAACTCATGCATCTTCCACAGAGACGGCCTCACGTCTCCAAATAAAACTAACGCAGCGAGGTATGGACACAAGCCGGTGGTTCATTTCCATCCCTGGAATGAAAACCAACTGTTGAGCCGCGCTCACTGAAGGATCCCATGATGAATTTCTGCTAATGCCTCAAATTCTTCATTGATTCCAAAGTTTACCACAAAAAACAACAACAAAAAAAATGAAAAAATCCCAGAGAGGATTTAGGTCCAGCACGGCCCACGGTGCAAATCACGTGGAAGCAAACAGGGCTTCATAAGCGGCGAGGCTTGGCAGGATGCATGCATCACAAGAGACCCACTGTGGAAGCTTAAGCAAGACTACTGAGTGTTTTACTGATGCATATAAATTCCTCCCATCTCCATTTAAATGCTGCTTTATCTGCTTAAACTGCAGGCGTCCGTTGCTTAACGGGCCAATTTAGTGCAGACAGGGGTTCAAAGGGAATGTTTTTCTATGAGGAAAATGCCTCAAAGGGAGTTAGTTAAGGCATTGTTTAGCCGCGGTGGTCCCCCAAAGCTAGAAAATTGCTCCACACAGGAGGAGAAAATGTAAATACAATGAAAATCCATTATCCAGCCTCAATGACCTCATTGAATGTGCAGAGAAAAAAAATGCTGACTTTAAATGCAGCAGGAACTCTACACACAAAGTGCATGTGATTACAGGAAAACACTCATCATAAAACATTTTTGTTAACTCTGCAGTGGGCTCAACTAAACATTCAAAGCTTTCAGCTTAGATTAAGTAATGTGCAAATCACAGCACGCAATGCTTTCAGGGCCAAATCTACAAACCTGGAACTTCTTTCAACTCTTTGCATACTTTCCTACATACGTTTTAGAGCTCTAGAAGTGCCAAAAAAAAAAAGAGAAGATGATAAAAAAAATCTGAATTATAATTCAAAATTTCTTTCTCTCACAGCAATCTCCTCAAGTGTCATAATGGAGCATTTTAATTTGACAGGTCAACAGAAAACAGGGTCAAAGTTCATCTTTATTGAACTTAAAGCAGAACGCTTCAGTGGCAATTGTGAATGGTTTCCTTTGCTAAGAGTGGGACTGCAGCGAGATGTCTCAGACAGCTCTTCTCCTCAACAAACAATGGCTCAATCAGAGCAGAATGATTCTGATTCTGATGTTTGTCATAAATGTATTAAAAACGGATCCCAGTTCTGCTTTTAAACTCCCAATAGGGAAAAGCAGCACTGAGCATGCATGGACAATATTCAAGAAGCCTCAGATTAATAGCAATTTCCACAACTTCGATATTTACTGATATTTCAGGAGTCTGTCTGACCTTTAACACTTTATCTAATCATATCAGCTGAAGAGTTTCTGTACACCAAAGCTCAGAGAGGTAAATCAATTCATGATTTGTCAGAACAGCTAAGCTTTGGCTCTTACTGCAGATTATGCAGACAGTCACACAAATAAACAAGTCTCTACATTTCAATCTGGCGCCAGGTAAAGTTTGAATACAAACATCGATGGATAGGGAGGCTGTGCTCTATTGGATTATCTTGAAAGCATATTCTTTTTCATTCTGAGCCATGTGATTGCAGGAAAAGAAAAGAGAGATAGAAAACCTATGAGCATAGTGGTGACATAGAGATCACAGAGTCTGTATGAAGACAAAGACATGAAGTGGGGGAAAAAATAGCAATTCTTACCAGTTCCCTCCTTGCTTCCATTTTGGTGCGTCCGCAGCTCCTCTGATTTGTAGAAGTCAATGCTGGCGTACGTGTTCAGGCTGGAGCTGCCACTCCCGCTGCTGCCGACTGATGCACCTGCCGCCCCCACCCCAGAACCAGAACCCAGTCCAGAGAAGAGGCGAGATGGGGCCTGGCTGCCAGAGGGCCCATCCAGTCCCACGTGGGGGCTCTCCTTGTTGGCCAAATCCAAGTCTATGTAGTTAAGGCCTTGCTCTGCAGATGAGGTCTGAGCATTTGTGGGAAGAGTTTGCTGTCCAGGAAGGGGGAACTGAGTGGGAGATTCAGTCACAACACCATTGCCCCACAGCATGCTTTCAAAGCCCAGCCGGCGGGCTACAGACTGGTGTTCAGGAAAGAGGGAAGCAGTTGAGGAAGAAGTCGAGGTAGAGGTGGAGAGGGAAGTTGAGGCAAGGAAGGTTTCTGAGCAGTGCCGTCTGCGTCCTTGGGGGTCGGCCCGGATAACTTTAGCTCCCTGGTCTGGGTTGGGTCCTGTTTTGGATAGGGGAAAGTCTAGACCCCGTGGCAGCACAGATGTATCATCCCTGGTGGGAGATGGGCCTTTTGGGGAGACGCTAGATGATGACCGGGGGACATTGTTGTTATTCAAACTGAAGGCCATCTCTGTGTAGTCTCCACATGATGTAGGAGACTCGGATTTGGTCACTGATGGAACGCTTTCTCTGTTTTTCCTAAGTGGGGCGTCTGCCACTTCAACCTCATCTTCATGAGGTTCAGTATTATCCTCATTACAGGGTTTAGGGGCATGAGCAAGCGTTGGGGGTGTGGGAGGGGTATGGAAAGAGGGGAAAACCAGCGGGGTAAGAGAGAGTGGTGAGGGCGATGGAGAAGGGCCCAGGTCCATGTTGACGTACTCAGAGGCAGCTGGTGGAGTGATCGGGGCAGATGGGCTACGGGAAAGGGGTATAAAGTTTCCAAAGGAAGAAGATGGCTTCGGTTGAGGCTGCTGGCTGCTGGAGCCATGAGGCAGCGATAATCCATGCCTTAGACCCCTACCACGACCTAATCCTATCCCAGTCGGATTGCCCTTCTCCCCCTTGAATTCAATGCTTACATACTCCCCAGGGCTCTTAGGTTCTGGTGGCAGAGGGTTCTCACGAACTCTAGGAAGAGTGTTCGCTTTGGATACGTCAACAAACAGGCTAACAGGTCTGCTTCTAGTATAGCTACCCTGCTTGGACAACCCACCAGAGCCTCTTCTCTGCTGCTGCTTACTCCCATCCTTGGACTGAGTTCCCCCAGTCACGTTACTCAAAGCCTGGGTAGTTCGCTCGTCGCTCTCACCCAGACTTTCACTGCTGGCTGAGCTGGAGGAGTACGAGGAAGATGAGAGAGACAGGTGGCGTCCAACTACTGCATTACCAACTGCTGCTTGCTCCTGAAGCCCTCTAATAGGTTTACCGCCACCCATTCCCCTCCTAGAATTCCCATTGGGCCTTCTTCCTCGTCCAGGACCATCATCAAAGTGTCCGGTAGAGGGGCTATGTTTATAAGACCTGGGTAGGGAATAGTAAGAGTACACCATCTTGGGACCATGTTGCTGCGGACTGGTCTCCAAATGTGATGAGTGCTCAGGAGGTGTGGGACTGCCGTTTACAGAACGTGCACTAATTGGAGACATGTTCATATAGTCACTGCCTGGCCTGCTGTCTGCACTGCCACTGCCCACCCAAGCCCCACCGGAGAGACCTCCACGCTGGTCAGGGGAACAGCTGCTATTAGGGGACATTATCATATAGCCATCAGAAGTTGGTGGAGGTCGAATCTGCTGTGGAGGCGACACGCTGTTGTTAGGAGTCATGGCCATGTAATCATCAGCAGGTTTGGAGTCTGAGTCGGGGACCGAAACGGCCAGTGACTGGGAAAGGGACGTCGGAGGCTGAGTAACTCCAGGTAGCATTGACATGTACCCATTGTCCACGCCTAAATCTACACTACCACCTGCTCCTCCAGTGCCTTCAGCTTTAAACTCTCCTGCCACATCCAAGTACGCGCCTCCTCCCCCTGCCGACCCAGCACTCATGGCAGATTCCTTCTGTGTAGAAGAGCAGGTGGAAGTAAAAGACTCTCGGCTTGTGCTTCTTGACATGATAGCGTAATCGGCCGAATCGTCATCTGCTGGCTCCTCGGCTCTGCGCTGACGTGGAGCCAGCCTTTCCAGGGCCATAGGAGGTAAAGAGGCCCGCTTGCTCAGCAGCCTGCGTTCAGCTTCACATTCTCGGCTGGAGGAGCGGCGTAGAACTCTTTTAGTTTGGGAGCCAGAGGTTGGTGTTCCTGGTGTTTGCTGGGAGCCACTTCCTTGATTACTGTTGCCACCACCACTGCTACTACGTTGGCTCATTAGGATATAGTTGGCCCCATCTTCACTGAGGGACTGACTACTGACACTGCCAACAGAGCTTCCAGGGAGGCTAGGAGAAGGTAGGAGCGTGTGATCTCCAGGACTTGAACCATACTCGTCTGAGGAGCCGTAGTCACTGGGTGAGCCTGAGACAGAGGCTCGATGAGAGGGAATACGACTGTAGGCTCCAGACCCCGGAGCACCAGCACAAGACGTTAAGCCTCCAAACTCTGAGCCATGACCAGAACTAGAGGACAGACTTGGAGCTGGGGACGGAGCTGGGGTCGAGATTGAGCGCATCAACCCTAAAGGAGTTTTAGCAGTTGTGGTGGGTGCTGAACGAGCTGATTTTGATCTGAGGATTGGGGTGTTAGAGCAGGAGCCATTGGTGGAGGGGCTGGAGTTCACTCCATGGATCGGTGTGGCACCTGTTATCCCATCCTCCCCTTTCCCCCCATCACTTGCAGTGCGAGACCTCGGGAAGCTATGCCTTGGCGTGGGAGAAGCGTTGGCACAGTTGATGGGTGCTCCACTGTTAGTTCCTCCAGGGGGCTCGGTTCGGGGCCGGCGGGCGAAGCCAACCTGGCTAGGAGGAGGGTTTGGGTGGTGGCGGCGTGAGGGAACACTGATGGGGTTAGAAGCAGTAGCACCTCCTCCAGGGCCAGAGTTGGACTGAGACTTGCTGCGCTGGCGGAACTCCTCACTCAACGCCTTCATGGCCTCTAGCAAGGTTTCATGCATGTTTTGGGCGACTACTGAATCATCCACCTAGGACAAGAGGCAAAAAGAATCTGATAAAGGGAATGAAATCACAATATGATCGATTTTATATTCATATAATGTATTCAAAGTTAAAAACTACTACACATTAAACCACTAACATCTTAAAGACAAAGTGCTCTGTATTTAAATCTTAGATTGTCATGGAAACTCTGTTTAATCTCCTTTTTCAAGGAGCCTTACTCTGACAAAACTTTGACATTTCTTTCACTCTGCTGATTGCGGGCTTTTAAGATATGAGTAGGATTGGAGAATGAAAATAACCATCAACATGAACAGAACTGTAGATTACAGGCTCACCTGCATCCAGAACTCGCCCGGGCCTGTCACTGCAGAGCGTCCCACCTCAACGAAGAAGAAGTTTTCTGAATGGCCGCAGCGTCTCACGTTCATCAGCTGCAGCACCACGGCGGCAGCATCAGAGTTGAGCTTCACAAAGTTCACCGTCTTGTCGGTCAGGCAAAGGCGGTAGATGCCAACCAGGTTCTTGGCCTGACCCAGGCCTTTGGGCCATACCTTTACCTGCCATACCTCTTTGAATGCTGGTCCAGGATTAGGCACTCCATAGTCTCCTGCACCGCTGCCGTCATTAGGATTCTTACCTAGAGGGACAGAACGGGGAAAGAGTGAGATTAAAAGGTTACTGGGATGAAAACAAAGAGAAAAATAAGAGATTAAACTATTAAAGTAAGGAATTATGAAGAGCACTGGGAAGTACAGCTGTTGCAACAAAGGACTGACATGACTTTGATGCACCTGTAAATAAAAGAAACAACTGATAAAATCTCTATTATACGCCTGTTAGTTGAGAGCAAGCTGTCTTTGTTATGTAAGCTGTACTGTGGCCGAGCTTTCCATATATTTCTAAAACAGATCCAAGTATAAACTGGGCACGCACTGGCTTGTGAGACCGGATCATTGTACCTGCAGGCTCCATGCCTGTGGTCTCATTTATCAGCTACACAGGCATCCTGACACACACAGAGGCACACATACAACCAGTGTGGGAAAATTAAACTCTTGACAACTGAAGCTGAACATAAGAATGATGACTATGGAAAGGAAAAAAAAAACAGCTCTGTGGAAAACCTTAAGAGAAGTGACTTGGAAAATGCTTAATAAGAAATGCTTCTCCAAAACAAACAATGCAAATCACTGGCAGGAATCCTAACGGCACACCCTTAACAGCTATTTTCTCAAGCGGAACTGACAACAAAAACTGGCTTTGTAAACTAATAAATTGAAGTTTCTTTAAGCAGCAGCACAGGCAGCACATTCACCCTTTGTGTTAAGTGTGCTGTAGTCAGATACCAGAGGCCTACTGAAGCCAAAACACAAGAGAAAACGGCCCAAAGTGATATCTGATCCTAAGTTAGTAGGGGCCAAACAAAGGCATGGGACTTATCTAACCACCTAATATTTGTCTGACTATTATCCCAGGAAAGTACCTTAATACTACGTTGTACTGCAAATCATTGTTAGCGGCTAGTGACACTACCTTTGAATATATGACAGATTTACATCTAAGCTCATTTATATCCACACACAAAAGACGTCAACATCTGTTGACTAGCACGGATTATAGGAACAACATTATGTGAGTCATGTTTAGGGTGGATTTCGTATTCTTCTCCAGGGAACCACCCTAAAAAGTTCCTGAAACTTATTTTCACATGTCCCACATTTCTGAGATACCTCTGTTATGTTGCCAGTTTGGATATGTCTGAGCATGATAACCATCTATGACACAAACTCAATCAAACTAATGACAAGGCTAAAGAAACAGACCTCAACATCAGAACTCACCTGTTCCCTTGAATGGAACAGGATGTTCTTTGTGCATTTATAGTGAGCTTAAGCACCTGCCTTATTAGCCTACCACATCTGGCATACTGAAGGAGACGACATATTGAAATAAGGAAAGTTCTATTTTTAAAAGGGTTATCTCATTGAAACCACTGGTTTGCTATATATTATATACATATATATATATATATATCTGCTGATGTTCCAACAAAGCCAATGTTCAAATTTGTTCTCTAGAATCATTTTATCCTCTGATTTACTTTTAGTTCACCATCAGTTAGTCGTATTTACACATTTCTTCTAATTTATAAATTTTAGCTAGCTAGAATTTTTACCCACGATGTTTAGCTAACAATTTCTTTAGCCAAATGTATTTTTAGCTGTTAGCTTCATCTTAAGTTAATCATTTTGGACTTTTTAAGTCAGAATTTTAGATAAAATATATAACATATATAGATATATTTATACAATAAAAAAAACAAAACACTGGATTTAAACGTTAATGGTCAAAGAGGCACCATATTGATATAATACTGCAAACTGCAAGATTTTACGCGGACAAAGCAAAATATTTTTGATTTCAATAAGCACAAGCGAGAAATAATTAAGGAGTCCTGACCGATCTTCTCTCCAAGTTAGGAATTTTGATAATTACGATCAGTTCACCGAGTCGCAGCTGTTGAGCCACACGATTTAATTAATGCACATAACTCTCTTCCTGTGGAGATGCACCTGTGGATCCTGAGAAGCTTCAAACTGAAGCAGCTGGAAGGAACAAACACAACTTCAGCTTCAGTAAAAGCTGCATTTAGTGGTGAGTCT